TGTTCAATATTTATATATTATATAATATGTTGGATGTCCATGAGTATAAAAGATGATTTACCAATGTGTAAGGCCATCTAAAAATAATGTTTGCTTGCCCTCTCCCAACTCAGGATGAGAAAATTGAGTTGGTAGGTAGGTGAGATTTTTTTTTTCAAAGAAAAGAGGGTGTTGCAAATACTCGTGATTATTCCCTATATCGAGAAGGACATTTAAATACCCACGACGCTTGAAGAGTTATGTCTAAATATAGATAATGCTACGTAGATGACTTTATTTATACGACGGGTATGTCCAGCTTGCTATAACAAAACATTTAACATTTTACGTTTGTTTCATGCATAGTTTTTTTTCCTTATATAGACTGGCGACTTGTAAGTAAACTTTTTTTTCACATCTATGGTCACTGTCGCCATATTGCACGAGAAAAGTTAGAACGATAAAAAGCACAATCAATGGCAAGTGCACCTCGCACATCATTTTGAAAGATGAACTGTAGACAGCGTGCTTTAATATTTTTCAATATATAAAAATGTGTCCACTTATCACGCTGTTAAAGCAATATCAAAGAAATTCCATTGAGTCATTTCAATTTAGTTGTTTCAAGTCAAATCTGAGCCACTAATAAACAGAACAATTATGAAACGAAATGCGTATGAAAAAAATTAAATTAAATTAAATTAAATTGTTTCAAATCATTTCATTTTTTTCTGTACGCTGATTGCCATATAGAAAAAGTTTAATGGCGATTTTCCCATACCCCCCCCCCCTTTAAAAAAAAACGATCTAGAAAGATAAATTTTCTTTCAGACTTCACGACTTGAATATAAAAGCCTACAATCGCTACCCCTGTACCTGACAAAGATCATGTTTTCTGCGTCTTCAACATCCCAGAGGTACAATATCTTCACAGGTACCAATTCCGAATCTTTTATCAACAAATTAGGTAGCAGTGACGCAGCTAAATATGATCCTTGCAGATGGAGACAGCTTATATATACGGACCGGGGCTTGACACCTCGTAGTAGGCGGTGCTAATTATCAACTTGCTTTTCTCTCATTGGTCCTCTGGTACAACATTAAATATATGTCTTACTAGTTTTAGATCACAATATCAAGGAAAACAATTTAATTCTGCATGCATTTAAAGTATTATCCATTAATTTTCTGACATTCTCTCCCTCTCTCTTTCTCTCTCAAGAGAGATGTTACATTGTACTTCCATTATATAAGAAAAAAAATATGTACGTATATACCAGCCATTCCAGGATTCGAACCCATTCTCAGGAAAAAGAATCTTTGCATAGAGCCCACACGCTTAACCACTAGACCAGCTCCGACAGTGAAATATAACGTGCTATTTTATGTGAACATTTTGTATTTCGGATGGATAATAATTTTTATTCGATTTTTGTGATTTTCAAAAATATGCCTCTTTGAAACAAAAATCGGAAATGGCAGTTTTGAAGAAAACTCCTGTCTCTTTATGCGTATATCAAATTCATTCTGTTTCAAGGAGGCAATTTTTCAGAACAATGGGGATTCCCAATTTGAAAAATAGAAAACTTGACTTATTTTGCTATGTGACTAATTTACATTTCATTTAATGGCAAATTGGAAGACGATATGCAGTTTCTAAATATTGTTCTACGCTGTGCCGTATATACCGTTGCATCTGAAAAAATTTAAGACCGTTTTCTGTTACATAAAATTTTTCTTTTTAACTGCTACAACTTTAGGGAAAATAACAAAAGAACTGCAACACCCTCTTTCAAAATCAATCCTGAATTTTCAAAATCTATTTTCTGGAATGCTTAAAAAAAATAATTGCTTCCTGGAGGTTAAAAAAAAGTTTTGAGTCAGGCCATTTTTAGCCAGTTGGTCAGGAGAGGGCAACCAAACAATTTTTTTTAAAGATCGCCTAATGTATTTGCTATATATATATATATATATATATATATATATATATATATATATATATATATATATATATGTCCAACTTAGCCCCACCCTTGGGCAAGGGCTCACGATACGCGAATCGTATCGCCACATATGTATCGTGATACAGTATAATTTGTTTGCAACTTCTACATACAAACTAACAAATTTTAATGTTTTAAAATGGCTGAAAAAAGGTAGCAAAGAAAAGATACAATGTCAAGATTATAAATCCACCTTTTTTTCACCTTGGTCAGGGATATCAAGATATTTTTTTTTATATTTTCTATAACTGTGGAGGTTAGCAAAGAATAATATATTAAGATAATGGTTAATTCAATTGTTGACAGCTGTATCATGATACATGTTGTATCGCACTGACGCATGACCGAATCGTGATATGTACATGTATCGTATCGTTAGGTACATGTAGCTTGCGATACCCAGGCCTAATAAACAAGTCTTCATTATAGATTTGACGTATACCTGAGTGGGGACCTGGCTTGAACACATACCATGTACCCAGTAGTTCTTGAGAAGAAGTTGAAAATGTGAAAAGTTTACAGACGGACAGACATATGGACAGATGTAGGACAATAGGTGATCAGAAAAGCGCACTTGAGCTTGAAATCAGCTCACGTGAGCTACTGTAAAAATAGGAGCATGAAATCATAGAGTTCAAAGTATAACATAAAATTGTACAAGGACTTTCAAGTTATTGTACATTGAATCTTACAACCCTTTCCCAAATGCCTGATTCAGGATTCTCTGTGTTGTGGGATGGGGTGTCATATCATAAAATTATCTGATTATTACTTATATAACACGTGATATGGAAATAAAAAAAAATACCTGTACTATGATTAGCTTTTAGCGAGCACAATTGGGGCGAAGCTCTTTTTTTTCTTTTTTAGTATTTAAACATTCATTTACCCTAAGAATGACGCTACACAAAAACTTCGTCAAAGAATGCCGCTTGACGTCATCTACATGTGGTCTGGTTTCCTGACCCCGTATGTACTAAAACACAGATAGTTTTTACGTCCCTGATGTATCTATCAATTTTATCGATATTACAATATGTATTCAGTAAATAAGAAAAACTGTTACATACAGTGCTTTAATAAAAATGAAAACATCCCCCATCCCCCAGGGGCAGGGGGGTTAGAGTGGGGCCACAATATGTGATCAAAGCCATGGTTTGTCATAATTATAGGGAAGCATCCTCAGGTAGTGTAGATCTTCAAGTATATTTATAAGGATCGCCTTTTTACATGTAATTGTTGCAAATAATCGTATTATTTTACTCTGCTTAGACTGCTGAACTGACCTGGATTTTGAGCTACTGGTGATGTATGAGGACAACATTTACAGCAAATACAAGTCACTTAAATGCAGTGCGAAAACTAGTCGATAAAATAATCCGATATTGTCCAAAGTGCGGCTATGTGTACATGGTGCACACATGTACATGCCTCCATAAAGCTGCGAAATTTTCCTCTAAAACAGAGAAATATTATGTAACATCTTCAGGCGAAAATTGAACTGACACATGTGTTAGATCAGTGCTAATATTGATACACAGTATAATATAATATTAGTGACTAGCGCATGTTGCTGAATTAATGAGATATTGATTCGTTATCCTCGTGTACATCATTTTGCACCTCACAGCCACTTTTGTCGCATCTGAGACGATACATAGCATACATATGACCAAGACGGACGCTACTGAATATTCACGGGAGGTGCAACAAAACATCCTGCTATTAATTGTTTTACATCATACATTAATTATGACAAGAATTTAAAAAAAAATAACATCAAGGTACACTTCGCTATTATAAAACAAAACTAAAAACTACAAAAATGTTTTTAAAAGATAGTAGTTTAAAATTTCGAACATTGTGATAGAATATAACGGTTAAATGTCCTCTTTTTTTACGAAAGGGCCAGCCATTTCCAGCCTAAACCAGCCACTTCCCCTAAAAGATTTACTTCGTAAAAATGATACTTCTTAGTGAGTTCTTACATATTTCTTGAATTCAGATTCTTTCATATATGGATTATGTGCTGAATTACTCAGGGTTTACGTTTTGAAATCATATGAGAGAGAGAGGGGTATACCCCCAAACTTAAGATTCTTTAAATATTCATGTCAAAATGAATAAAAAAAATAATCATCAACGAAGTATTATTAAAGTGGATCCGAAAAACTGGTCTCTTGAACCACTTTTTTACGCCCTCCATCAAATAAGTACGCCAAGGCTCGGGGATAAAAAAAAAAACCCACACACAAATAAAAATCATATCCAACTACAAATCATGGGAGATCCTATATATACATGTATATAAATAAATAAATAAATAAATAAATATATATATATATATATATATATATATATATATATATATATATATATATATATATATATATATATATATATATATATATATATATACACACATACATATCGAAACTTAGATACACTAAAGTATGTTCAAATCACCCACTCACAATCTAACATGAAAGATCTCCTTAAAATGTAAAGCAATCACACAGTCAATGCTTCATGTGCCTCAGCCTCCATCTTTAAAAAAATACGTTCAGCACTCTAATCATTGATGATGATATTTTACTGACAACGACTCACATTGTGTACAAGTACGCTTCATAATACCGGGAAAAAAATATATTAATAGATGCTGAACTCCTTCCATGTCTTCCGACATGTTTGTTAACCGCTGTGTTATATATGTGTTTATCGTAATGATCTGCCAAGTGTATGCCAGACAGATCAGCTAACGTTCTTCATTACATACTAGTAAGATTATTAATCGTTCGTTAAAAACATGTGGCCAAGTAAGTGATTAATTATAATAGCACTGAACGTCACAAACAAAGGGGAATTGTCCCCCATTTGGAGAGCTACATTCAGCGTAAATGTATAATTGCAGGGCCTTAGTATGTATATCCATTTAGTAAGCATTAGTATAAGCATCGAATAAACAGCGCGTATAAAAGTATAGTTCAAGAAAGAAGAAGAAAATGGCAGACTGACCTTCCTATTTGTTGTCGCGCATCCTTCTCAAAAGAGAGAGAGTGTGTGTGTGTGTGCATAAACAAGACGTAGTTCACTTGAGCGTGCGCGTAAGACACGCCCACATGCCTTTTACAGGAAATTAGCATTGCTAAAAATACATGTATACTTGTTATAATGACGCGCCTGGTAAATCGCTAAAAACCGTAGAAAATTGAATATTAAAAGCCATTTAAATTCTTTACTTATATGCAATCACTTAACTATTTTAGTGTATCGAACATAAGTTCTTTGAGAGGTAGCAAACCTTGTTTAGAAGTGAGGTTTTCCAATAATTAATATTACAAAATAAGCATATTGATCAGGAAATTTGATATGAAACCGAGACTTTCGCAAAATCCTTTTCCTTGATACATCAGTCTCAGGGATATCCGCTATATAATTATTGATTTCTGCAAGACAATTCGGAGAAAGAAACCCAACTCATTCACAATATCTTAACTACAGAAAGTGAATGAGTTTGCTTTCCGAGCATGATTTTACAACTTAGAAAAAATTTCCCCACCAGTTAAATGATATGAATTGACAGTGTCTCGAACGTGTATGTGTACGATAAATATGGCTACTTCCAATAGTTTTTATTAACATAGAGAAACACATGCTTATTGATTTATGAACAGTTACTGTATATACATATATATTGACACCTGTATTTTGTTATGTCACAGACACGTAGCATTGTTAATGTTGTGTGAAAAAAGGGACAGGTTAAAAAAAAGACCCTTAAACTGTGTTCTGCCTCGCTTTAATCTCTGTTATTTTTGTTGTTTTTTTTATTTGAGACGCTTCGCAAAAATTTACATAATAAACGGTTACAACATTAATGACCCTAAATCGCATACTGGGGAGGACCAAGTATTATGTAATACTTTTACAGAGCATTCTGTAACATTATACAGAATAAATCCCCACTATACGTGGTAAATTGCCCTGTACCACATCTTGATACATGACCCCCTCCCCCCCCCCCCAAAAAAAAGAGCAAGAGAATCAATTCATTTTTCAAAGTCCGGTTACAATCTGGTAACATCTGGTTACAAATGATAAATCAGATGCAAAGATGTTGTCGTTTTGGTGTTTTGTCATTAACAAAATAAACATCGAGTATTTTTCGCTAAAAGCTACATTCGGACTGCTCTTATATAATTTTTGTTTTGTCTTTTGTGCAGGCGCAATCGATAAAAATTATATATAAGAGTTACATTCATTATGCTGCCAAATCAGAATCCAGCATACGTTAACATTCATGCACGCCTTGCACTTACATTTGCAAGTACCATAGGGACACATTTTACTGATCGATGTTCTAAATTTCTTCTTGTGTTGATGAACACAAAGAAAGTTACAACCTACTGAAGTTTCAGTCAAAATTTCAGCACAATTAAATGTGAGTGTTTTGAAGAATTTTCGTATATATATCATATTATAGAACCTTGTGATAAATCTTAAATTTTAAAGTATTTCGCCAAAAACTAATGAATTAAGTTATTGAAATTTTGCGGCAGCCAATTCAGAGCGATGAACACGTGCATGCGCTTGCTTTTGTAACATTAAAAGTTTAGTTATAAATAAGTTTAAACTTCAGATTAAACTTTTAATGTAACCACTTTCATGCTCATTCAACCATGTTGTTTTGTGTAAATTATTCCTGTATGTTTAAATTTGTACGTGTATACCGAGTTTCAAGGCATATCATCAAAATATGTGATTGTTGAACTATTTGAATTTAATTAGTCATTTCACTTGTACGCGCACACACATCGTGTATGCATGCACGTTCGCGCAAAATGACCTACGATCTTAAAGGTGCTTGGACACAGATTTGAAGTTAATATTTTCTCAAATTTTCTGTATAATTTCTTGACTTATATGTTGCTACAGCATTTCATACTAAAATATAATAAAAATCTTATTTCATCTCGAAGTTATTTAAACTTCGAATTTCTGTACGCGTTGGATTGACACATCCTTGCACTTTCACATATTTTAATTTTATTCTTAATACGTAAGAAAAGTGGCAATTCTGTTGTGTATTAATGAAAAATATTAAAACTATAACCCAGAAAATTCAGAGTAGAAATGTTCGAAAGCAAAACCTACTCACAGTATTGTAAGTCCGTGCTCAGTGGTGTGTGCAGAGTTTAACAATTGAACACACCCGGTGAATCGTAAACATTAACAATAACAGAGCTCGTGCCCTGTTTACAAAAACAGTTTACATTTCACGGGTGTGTTCAATTTCTTAAACTCTGTACACATCACAGAGCACGGACTGACAATACTGGTGAGTTGGTTTTGCTTTCGAACATTTCTACTCTGAATTTTCTGGATTATAGATGTAATATTTTTCATTAATACATAACAAAATCGCTTCTTTTCTTAAATATTAAGGATAAAGTTAAAATTTGTGTAAGTGTTAATCAAACGCGTCCCGGTATTCGTAGTTCCAATAATTTGCAGATAAAATAAGTTTTTAATTATATTTTCGTGTGAAATGATATTGCAATATATAAGTCGTGATATTATATAGAAAATTTGAGAAAATATTAAGTTCAAATCTGTGTCTAAGCACCTTTAACATATCTGTATTATCTCAAGGATAGTTTCCGAGAACTCGTGCGGATAAGAGAAAATTCCGTAGAGGAAATGTGAAAAAAGTAAAAACAATTTGTTCCCAATATTTTTGGAAGATAATAAAACCAAGTTTCCGTTGCTGAAACACTTTTGCTTTGTAGGACAATGTAAATATCCACAGTAAGGAAATTAATGAATTATTTTGATTCAGCAAACTACATCCGCGATACTTGTTGTTATTCATTGCAGCATGAAAAAGATTGGATATAGCAGTATACTAGCAGTATGTAAAATAAGTAATCATGTGTTCAAGTATACAATAGATTCCACTGAGAGAGAGAGAGAGAGAGAGAGAGAGAGAGAGAGAGAGAGAGACTGGTCAGTCAGACATAGTAAATCACACTATATACACCTAGTATATTGTCTCTTTTAAGTTTTGATAAAATAAATGATGGGAATCAACATTTTGTGATGCAGAAGATCTGCATTAAGACCAGCATTTTTTTTTTTAATTTTTGATATTTTATTTTAAATGATTGATCGAAGGATGGATGTAAATAAAATCTTCAAAATGTTCCATTGCAAGCAAATTTCAAAAAAAGGCTTGAAATATCAAATTCATTCTTCCTTTTGAAATCATCTGAAATCTACTGGTGTTGTTGTAAACTGAATGTCCCCATATTGACAGCATATATTGTCAAACAGTTGGGTCTTTCAGGCAAAGCATTGTCAAACATGAATCCACATGTACTTGCAAGTGTAATTGTAAATTCATAGAAGTTTTTTTTTTATCCTTGAACTGAAAAAGTTCAAAAAACTTTTATAAAAAAAAAAATTCCATCAGATTTTATTTTCCTGGGAACAATAAATTTTTACCTGCTTAGTAAATTTATCGTCTGGATTAATCCTGCACTCACACAGACAAATGGTGTCATAACTGCAAATCAGTGATATGAATTCAGAGTTAGATAACTTTTCTGATAGATGTTATGTTCCACGGAGGTTTCATCTCAACCATTCTCGTCGTAACGCGTTTCCGCTTGAGGCTGGGTCAGAACATCACTCGGCCGTTTCCGTGAAGTCTTTCTCGACTTGACGGAAAAGGCCGAGTGAAGTTCCGATTGCTCCTCTGGGTTTCCATCTTGCTCGTTCGGGATGTAACGCTTGCCATTTACAAGAAGTTTGTCTCTCACAAGTTGATTTCACACGTTTACCCTCATCACGGAGTCGGAGCTACGAGGGGTTATCAAAAAGTTCGTGGACTAGCGCCATAAAATTAAAACCGCTTTAAGTACATTGATGAATTTTAAAATACTTAGTTAGCATCATCTTTTCTATCTATAGAATAAACCACAAATCATAAGTTTTAATTTTTAATAAATTAGTATTGGTTTTGTAAGCAATGGTATGTCCAGGCGGCGCAACCTCGAACATGACGTTTTTTCAACCTGAGTGTAACTGAGAAAAACTCTTTTGATATGAGCACTTGACATCAAAAAATCCCGTTAATTCAGACATGTGATGGGACACAATTGTTCCGCAAAATGTGCAATTTTAATCTAATTCTGTAAGTTCTATGAAATTTTATGGTCTATTTTATAAGGAGTGCCCAAACAATTAAGGGCTTAAAATGACGTCAAAAGGGGGGAGGGATTTCTTTTTCCAACATTCTATAAAGTTTTGCTCCTGATAAAACTGGTATGAGCCTCGGGAATGTTTAAACTGTCTATAGAGAAATAAAATCCATCCAGAGTACTTGTTTTTAAATACCAAAAGAGATTCAGTAAGATGAGAGATGCACAGTTAATGTCGATTTGTAATCAAGGTGTGAAAAGTCAATCACGTCAAAGAGTAACGTTGATCATGTGTGGTAGATATTGAACTCCATCAAGCAAAATATGCTGGCATAATCAAGCGAGTATCTCTCCCTATGTATAGATTTGTTTACAATTTTATATGCATTGAAATCAGCCGTTCATGACATTGTCATACCATATAAACAAAACAGGTTTCAGTTTTACTTAACTCCAGGGAATCTCTTCAAGATAAGTGTATTGAGACAGAGGGAGTGCGCATTGAGAAGTAATGACGTTGTCGGACGTCATGAAACTAAAAGACAACAGCGCCGGGTGATCATATAATGTCTTTTTTATTTTATAATAATTTGACAAATTATCAACGTATCAAGCTAAAATTTTCCACACTTCTTAAACTTTTGTTGTTTAATGTTCCTTATAAATTTTGTAAACACAGACTACATAGTATTTTAAATTTATCGCATCAGTCCACGAACTTTTTGATAACCCCTCGTATGTGTCATATCTGTTGGAACAATTGCTTCTGAATACCGTATGGTTTGTTCCACGGTCGATCTTGACTGTATATAAATCTAGCGACTATTAGTCTCCTCCCGTCATTTCTGTACTTTCTGAATCGATGTTCGCTCCCGAAGTCAATGTGATGATCGATG